CAGGCGGGTCTCGAACCCGTGGGCTCAGGCAATCCACTCACCTCAGCCTCCCAAAGGCGCGGGATTACAGGCTGAGCCACCGAGCCCGGCTTCTTTCACCTATTCTACTTGACAGTGATTATTCAAGATTAGTAGGTAGCATAAGTAGGTAAATTTGATCGACTGCTTTTTGTTTGTTTTTGGAGACAAGGGTCTTTCTGTTTTGCCCAGGTTGGGCTTGACTTGGCAATTCTCCCATCTTAGCCTCCTGAGTAGCTGAAACTACAGATGTACACTACCACACCTGGCTAAGCAGTTAAATTTGAGATTAATATGGATAATGGCCTCTTGTTTTCTGTGTACCTCTGCTTTATCGTATGTTTCATTGTAGAAGATGAACTTTGATTCATTGTCTTCCTTTTGTTGAGAACCTCTACCTCTTATTTTTTATGCAGCAGTTAGAGATTTAGTTTTGTAACTCTTTGACATTCTGTAGTTGTTTCACCCAAGTGTGTCTTTCTTTCCCTGTAAAACTGTAAATGTCTTTAGGAGTTGGATCATACATGCTCTGCTTTTTATTATATCTTTTTCTTGACTATCTCAAAGGAATGTTTTCTACTTTTTTCTTTTTCTTCACTGCTTATTCTTTCCTTAACCTCTTACTCTATGGTGACTGTTTATATCTTCAAATTGTCTGTTAGTAAGGACTTCCTTCTAGTCAAATTGATTTGATTGCTCTGCCATATGAATGGTATTGCTTGTTTTTTGTTTTTCTTTTTAAACAATGTTGACTTTTCATTGTTGCCTTCTTTTCTGATTTCTTATTTTCCCTTACCTAATTTGGAAACCCCTTAAATTTTATGTGTAGTCTTTTTCTTCTTTTTTAATTATTCCTTTGGAGGCCTTTTCTGGGTATATCTACTCTATCAGTTTTTGGTAACATTTCTAAGTGAAATCCCCAGCATCTGTAGTTATAACCCTTTTAGCTTAGTTCCAGTACTAAGACCCAAGTAGGATCTCTTCTTTAAGCTTCTTTATTTCTGTCCTTACTGTCATCATTTTAGTTATTTTAGCAACTACTTCATCTTCTGTTTTTCCAGTTTTAAAATTAAATTTGTTTATTACTTCATTCTTCTTCTCTCATTACTATTACCTATGTCTTCATTACATTAGCTCAATAACTGATTGCCCTGACTTCAACTCCATTTCATTCTTATTATCATTTTTAGATTAATCTTAGTGTTTCATTGCTCTTCTTCCATATCCTTTAGACTTAGGAATATATAATTAATTATTTTGTCCTTAGAATTATCCTCAGGCTCCAGTTCTATGCATTCAGGCCCTCTCATCAACTGCTTCCCTCTCATCTGTCTAGCATTACCTCCCATTGCTTTTCACCCTATCCCACACTGTCTGGCACAACATACTCATTTCTGCCTTTGTTCATGTAGTTTCCTTTGCCTGGAATGGCTTTCATTTCTTGACCAGTACTTTTTCTTGATACCTAATATAATTCATCCCTTCCAGGAAGACTTGCCTTTATTAAGTCAGCCCTTGTTGATTTTTTTCTTTCCTCAGACTTATATGCACATTTGCCTTATGGTATGCTTCATCTCATACTTTATAAAATGGTTTTGCTTGATTTTTGGTTTGTAATTTCATCATGAAAATCTTGTCTTCTCCACTGCTTATGAAGTATGTAGATTTTACTTCTAGCTACGATGGAGCAGATTGTAGCAGACAAAAACTCCTGCTGAGAATAGCTAGAAAAGCTTGATTAAAAGAAATCTATATGAAGGCATTGTAAGTTGCCAAGGCAGCCAGGGTTTTAGACATTTGTGGGTTCTTGGCACAAAGAGAGTGCATCTATTAAGAGGCAGAAAAATCAGCAGAGCTTTCTTGGTGAGACTGGGGCACAAAAATTGTGGTTCAGAACTTCCAAAGCAACCAGAACCTGAGAGGTCAAGATCCCAGAAAGAGGGGAGATGCATTCCTCCTCTCCCTGCCACCTGCCTTTTTTCCGGAGGCATTTGCTGATTATCTGTCAAGGCAAAAGACTAAAAAGTCTCTCAGAAAGCCACCGAAAAGCAAGGCAGACTTCAACAGTTCTTCAGTGTTGAGGAAAAAAGTTCATAATCTTTCAAGGAAGATAGGTCTAGTAAACACACCGGTCTCTCAGTCGAACCTTTGGAGGGCTAGGATTAAATGAGCTTTCCGAGCTTTACAAAGACTGCAACCAGCTTGGAGTCAGCTCATGTCCTGTTTGGATTGTGAGGTGATCTGTCCTCATTCTAACTGCTTATGAGAAACCATGGTAAGCCGGGCTCGGTGGCTCAGCCTGTAATCCTGTGCTTTGGGAGGCTGAGGTGAATGGATTGCCTGAGCCCGTGGGTTCGAGACCCACCTGGGCAACTTGGTGAGACTTTATCTCTACAATAAATCAAAAAATTAGCTGGGCATGGTAGCGCGTGCCTGTAGTTCCAGCTACTTGGAAGGCTGAGGTGGAGGGATCGCCAGAACCAAGCAGGTCGAGGCTGCAGTGGCTGGGAGCGTGCCACTGCACTCCAGTCTGGGCGACAGAGTGAGACTCCAATTCAAAAAAAAAAGAAGAAAAGAAACCATGGTGAATTCTCTGTAGGAATATAATATCACCTAGAGCCCTACAGTTTTTCATACACAATGAATAGCATTCTAACAAAAATTACAGGTGAGCTAAGAGGCCAGACCAGGAATAAAACCAGGCAGTATACAATTATATACATGGTGTTGTTCCAGTCATCTATTTGTTTAATCAGTCTCTATTTGAAGGTCATTTAGGTTCTTTCCAATCTTTAGTATTGTGAGTGATCTACAGTGAACATTCTTACATGTACATCTTTGTACACATATATCTTTAAGATAAATGATATCTTTGCTAACTTGTTTTTATTAAAGTTTTTGATCTTTGCCAATCTGATACGTAAAAGTGTTTTGTTTTTAAAGTTTTTATTTATTTTTCTATAATTTTAACTGCCTGCTACATCCTTTGTTCATTGTTACTTGTGACTGTGGAAAGTAAGAGTGTAGGGTAAGGGCATTTCAGGCAGAGGCATGGAGGCAAAAATAGCATGGTTTGGCCCAGAAACTATGTTATTGATGGAGTGCAATGTAGGCAGGGAACGAAGTGATATGAAGGTGAAGAGGTAGGCAGAGGCCATATCATATAGATGGCTTCTATCATACTGAAATAAAAATGGTATAGAGCCAACTCTTGTGATTACAGAAAATTACCTGTGTATGTCTAAATAAAAGACATTTGTTCTTAGTTTACCATTTTACAGCAGATATTAATATAACCACATATTTGTACAGTGTTAAATAATTCACCAAACATTTAAGCTTATAAACTTTTGAATTCATTTTTTATTACTCTATAGTTCTGAGATATTATTGTTGTGTTAGTACCAAGTTCTCAGATATTGTATTATTACCAAGTTACAGATGAGGCAATTCAAGTGCAAAGAGATTCTTTTATTTGTCCAAGGACAAATAGTAAGTAGGAATATTCAAATTAGGGTCTAGGTCTTGAGACTCAGTAAATTCAAAGTTGTTATTCATTCTGATGTACTTAAGAAATTGAACCTCAATTTCAGCTCTTACGGACACCAGTGAGTCTGGAAAGTAGTTCACAGGAGTAGACTGAATAAAATACATTTTTCAATTAAAAAAAAAAAGAAATTGAACCTACAGAGGTAAAAATTCAAGCATAGTTGAGTACAAAGGAATGATTACCTTTGGACTGCACAGTTATTAGGATAGCATCTTTCCAATACAGTTAAGTGAGCTTCTGTTTCTAATTTTGTATTGAATGTGGATGCTTTGACAGTGATACTTCATTCTTGACGGTTTGATGCAATAAACAAAATGCCTGTCTTGTAGTTTGTTTTGTTTGTTTGCCTCTATTAATAACCAGTCATCTAACCCAGAGAAAATCCTTTTCTAGGCAGGATCTTCAGGAAACTATAGTTCCTACAGTTCATATTAGACCGAGTGCAATACTCAGCTTAGGT